TTGCCATTACTCAGTCCAGCATGTTCCCTTTCTCTTCTACCTCTTGTCATACTGCACAGCTCCCAAAGATGCTAAAAACAGTCCCTCTGGTGGAAGAAATCTCATTCTGAATTTCCTTTGATTTTCATTAGATCACTCACACAAATAAGTGAGTTCTTCAACACTATTTTGGATGGAAGACTTCCAGCACGTTATTTTCTTGTTTGGATCCCACTTCTCAAGGGGGCACAGAGTGTTCCACAGGAGGGATCACCCTGTGACCCTGCTGCTCCCACAGGGGTGCAGGGCCCAGCCCCAGTGTGACAGCCCCAGGAGGGGCTGTGCGGCGTCTGGAAAGCAAGAGCACAACAACAGAAATTAATCCCTGGCTGGAAAATTGCTGGAAGTTTGCTTAGCTCCAAAAGAAACCCTGAAGCTGTGAGGTCTGATGCTGGCTGTACTTTTTTTCCTGTGTGAGCCAGTGGTACCCATCATCTTTCTGACTCTTTGTGCTGATGAATGCAATGTAGTGCTGTGAATTTTATCTGGGTTTGGATCAGCTGATGGTCCTCTTTAAAAAGAGACCTTCATCCTCTGAAGCTGAGGAACACTTCCTGCAAGGATTCATCATGAATGACAAAGGCTTTAACGGTGCTGTTGTCATTCTGGCCTATCTGTAACTCTTAGATGTTGTTTTCCCTGGCAGGATGTTATCTGAGAGGATGGTTTGGCTGCAGGCTGAGCCTCCCAGCCCGTCTGTTCCTGCCTCCTACCCTGGCATGGCCACAGGGAAAGGGCAAAAATCCAGAGGGCAGAACCGTGGGAATGAAGGGAATGCAAGGAAATGAGAGGCTACCAGTAACTCTAGAGTTAAATAAATCACAGAATCCCAGAATGGTTTACTTGGAAGGCCCTCAAAGCCCATCCAGTCCCACTCCCATGGGCAGGGACTCTTTCCACTGTCCCAGGGTTCTCCAAGTGTCCACCCTGGCCTTGGGCACTGCCAGGGATCCAGGGGCAGCCACAGCTGCTCTGGGCACCTGTGCCAGGGCCTGCCCACTCTCAGGGTAGTTCTTCCCACAGGGAAATATTTCTTCCTAAAATCTAATCTAAATCTACTCTCCTTCAGGTTGAGGCCATTCCCTGTGTCCTGTCCCTCCATCCCTTGTCCCCCAGTCCCTCTCCAGCTCTCCTGGAGCCCCTTCAGGCCCTGCCAGGGGCTCTGAGCTCTCCCTGGAGCTGCTCCTGTCCAGGTGAACATTCCCAGATTTCCCAGCCTGGCTCGAGAGGGGCTCAGCCTGGTGGCTCTGGGGAAAACTGGTGCCCTGCACTGCCCATTATGTTGGGAAGGTGTTTGATGCCCCCTGTGCATGCTGCAGTTTTTGCCTGCCTGTTTCACAGAGCAGCAGGGGCTCAGCACGGTGCTCACCTCACACCTCTTTGGCAGCCAGGCTACATCAGCTACATTGACTCATAACTGGAGGCAGTGGCCATCAGCTTCTCCTCTATTTCCAACTAGAAAACTCAAAACATTTGCAGAGCCAGAGGGAAGACTAAAACCAAGTGGGGAAGCGGTGCTGTGATGCCCTTCTTGTCCCACTGCACAGCACATGAGGTGGGGATAGCTCTGCAAAGGCAGTGGATGGCAGCAGGCAGGGCCTGGGCTCAGGGCAGGCAGTGCTGGCACTCCCAGGCCTGGCTGGGAGCCTGGCTGGGGCTGCAGGTGTGGGATGGAGTTCCTGTGAAAGTGCTGTGGTAAGAGAACTGCTAATTAATTCAATACCAAAATACTTGCTTAGGTAGAAGGCTGCTGCTTCTGAAACTCATGCAGATTGAAACAGCAAAGCTGCAGCTTCAACACCAGTCTGAGGTTTGCAGTCCTCTCCTGAGACTCCAAAGATGTGAATCTTAGCAAGGCACTGAGAAAACTGCAAACCAGTTCCCTCCCAGCCATGTGTGGTGGGACCCCCATTCAGCCCTTGCAGCAGAGCTCCCACCCCTGTCCTCACAGCAAACTCATCTCTAAAACTGTCCTGAGGCCCATTCCTCTCCCCTGCCTCAGTCAGAGCCCTCCGGATCCCCACTGCGGGCAGCAGAAATTCATTTCCCTTCACACATCTGAGGGGTAGAGAGCACATGTGTCACTGCCCCAGGGGAATGTAAAATAAACTGAGGAGCACTGGCATGCCCAAAGCCCTGGCACAGCTGCCATCAGTTTTATAGAACAGGCTGTGGTTTCCTCTGACAGCCTGACCTTGACTGTCATCTTTGCTCTGAAGGCTCTTTCCCTTGGGCAGGTTGGTCCCTCCCCTGCTCCTTCCTTCCCTCTCATCCTGCCCCAGCTCCCTCCCAGCTGTGGCTGCTGTCTGTTCCTTCCCAGTTACCAAATCCAGGTTTATCCTGGAAGAGCCTGAGGACACCCTGCTGCACCATCACCCCTCCAAGGGCTCACACAAAGCAGGAATGTGGTGGCTTCCCAAGTGAGCTCTTCTTTCCCTGTGCTGCTGCAGGAGCCCAGGCAGTGTTTTAATGGGTTGTTATTCTTTCCATTTCAAACAGAGAGGGAGGAAACTCTCCATGGTAGTCCTGGTGATGCAGGGAAGCTCCTCTGAGCTGCACAGCACAACAGGCTGGGCCCAGAGGTGCCACAGGACCAACTCAAAGTGCTGAAACCCAGGCAACACAAAAGGCTTTTGTCACTTTTCCACTTTACTCCCTATTAATGCTTCACCCAAAGATGAGCTCTTCAGAAGTTAGTGGAAAACACCCAGCCAGCACTAAATTCTTCCTGCCAGTTTTTGATGAAGAAAATCCCTAAAGTTGTAATTTCAATCAATCTGTTAGGATACACATTTTTATTCCTTATTGCTATTACTTCTGCTTATATAGATGACAAATAACGTAAGATTCAACTCCCTGAGACTCAAGTTTTGCAGAAACTCACTCAGTATCATGGCAATGTACAGCTTAAGTTAGGGCTTGAATTTTTCTCAGTACTTCTGGAAATAAATCATTAGATCTGTACCCATCATTTACCAGCCCATCTCTGCCTGTCTTAATGAGCAACACATTGCATTTATCACCCCCTCTGTCATCATTTATCATGGTGTAGTCCATTAAAATCCTTGAGCAAACCTCTCCCCTGCACTGAGGAGCTGCAGGATTTGACCCACTTAAATTTAATAAGAGACAGATTCTTTCTGAGGTCTCTCTGATGTTAGGAATTCACATGGGTTTCTTTTTTTAGATTAGGTATTATTGCCTGGCATTTAAGGCTCAGATAATTAAGTAGATTTATATTTACATTGTCATTATTTACTCATGTCTGTTACTTAAAACCTAATAACAAACAATGACATTATTACTCAAGTACTTAAAATATCCCTAATTGAAATTAGGATCCAGTGCAAATGACTGCTTATTCTGACTTGATGGATAAATAAACATTCATCAGTAAAAGCAATGAAGACAGCAAATAAAAAATAAACCTTTTCTCTCTTTATCCTGTGTCACATGGCCAGGACATGCAGGATTGCCTTGAAGGTGGGAAGATGCAGACATCAATATCAAGGATGGGAAAGCAAGTTGGAAAGTCAAATCTGATATAATTTTGGACATTAATATCTTGGGATACAAGCAAGACAAGATTTGAAGGAGGAGATAACATCTTTATTGCACATAGGGATAGAATGATAAAAAGAAATAAGCATTCAGGCTCAAAATGCCTTTTCAGTTTGCATGCTGTAAAGCTTGTCTGCTCTTCCAAGTATATCATTATGTCTCAGGAACTATATTATCTCTCCCTGCAGACTCGATGCTGCTTAAAATGTCAGCTCTTCTTGAAGATGTCTGCTTTGCACCTTCCATCTGTTCCCAGGGATGAAAGTGCTGTCCATCTCTGCTTCCCACCTCTCCCACAGCAACGTGGGAAAAGGCTGAGGAGGGTTTCCAAATAAAATATGTCTTTTAGATTAATATTAACCTCATTTCCATACCTCAGACTGTTGGCAGAGACCACAGAGCATGGGTATTATATGCCTGCCATGTGAAATACTATTTATAGGAGCCAGCTCTCTGAGTAGGCACAAGAAAAAGTTACCAGTTGTTTCAGTGCAATATGTGTACAGTAAAATTAATCTGTAATCCTTAAGAAAAATCTTTTACTTAGAAGAAAAAAGAGTTAAGAAAAAAAGAGTTAAGAAAAAAAGAGTTGGCGGGTGTAGCAAAATTAGTTTGAGTTCTTTCTAAAAAGAAATAAGAAAAAAATAAAGCAAACAGGAAATACTGTAAACTCATATTGTAGATGCTTAGGTAGCATTTATTTTTATTAGAAGCGTACAGAAAAACAATCAGGCTTTTGTGTTCCTGTAGTGTGGATAAGGGATGTCATCATCCCCATTTTTAAGAGGGAAGAATGTTGCTATAGGACACGAAATAAAACAACGTAGGCATGCAGCTCTCCAAGGTAAAAAAGAGGGAAGTCAAGGTAAAAAAGAGGGAAGTTTAATTTCTGGCTCCAACATTTATAGATTTCCAAAAGTGACCGTGGATTGGAGGATGACAGTGACACCTCTCCAATGACACTGAACAAACCAACAGTCCATCAAATTTCTCCTCCATAAAAGAATGCAAAATAGTAAGTTATTTACACAAGTGTGTAAGAAAGTTCGTTACAAGAATGGAAACATCAGAAGGCTTAGAAAAACTTGAAAAACCAAGGCGACAGAAGAAAGGTAGAGTTTGGCTGATTTGCCAGTCACACCACATCCCTACTGGCACATGGAATGAAACCTTGCTCCTTTCCCAAGGAGGTGCCCATCCCACTGTGCTTTGGACAGAGGAGGGCCAGGCAGGGCCAAAGCCAAACCAGCCCTGCCAGGGAATTCCCAACATGGTTTTCCTGCGGGCAGAAGGGAGGGAGGGCTGGAGGCCTTTTGGGCAGCTGTGACAGCACAGAGCTGGACTGTACATGTCATAGAAGGAGGAAGGTTTGGCCACAGGAGGCAGTCCCTGGGGAGAGCATGGGCAGCAGCTGCAGTGGTGTCCCTGTGTCACGGATGAAGGCCAGCACCATGCTGGACACGGCGCCCGCTGCCCCCCGCACCAGGGCCGCCTCCAGGAAGCCGAAGATGGCAGCAAGCGGCTCCAAGGCCCAAAAGGCCACAGGGCCCAGTGTCACCAAGCTGCTCACCAGGACCGTGTCTGCCCCCAAGGAGCGCAAGGAGCTCTCCCTGGCCAAGCTCAGGAAGGCGCTGCCTGCTGGTGGCCGTGATGAGGAGAAGAACAAGAGCCACATCAAGCTGGGGCCCAAGAGCCTCACCAGCAATGGCACCCGGGTGCAGACCAAGGGCATCGGGGCCTCTGGCTCCTTCAAGCTGAACAAGAAGCCAGGTGAGACAAAAGAAAAGGCAACAAAGAAAAAGACAGCTGCCAAGCGCAAGAAGCCAGCAGCCAAGAAACCTGCCGGCCCTGCCAAGAAGCCCAAGAAAGTGGTGATAGTGAAGAAGAGAACCAAGAAGGCAAAGAAGCCAGCAGCCACAGGAGCCAAAAAAGCAGCCAAGAGTCTCAAGGGAGGCACACAGGCAGGCCACGCCAAGGAGGCAGCAAAGAGCCCAGCTAAGGTGAAGGTGGTGAAGGCCAAAGCAGCCAAGCCTAAGGCAGTCAAACCCAAAGTGGCCAAGGCAAAGAAGACAGTGCCAAAAAAGAAGTAAGACAACTGAGAGAAATTGAGTCTGCTCATTTAAATAAACCCTGTGATCTTAAATAATTTTTTGTCATTTCAGTCCTCTAGTGATGCCCAGTTACCTAAACTGAAGGTACTGGTATGGGACCTTGTCACTGGGTGCAGGGTGTGTGTGCATTCCCACAGACGCTGGTATCCAGTGGTAACAACCCTCTGCACCAGCTGGATGGAAACCCCAGACCTTTGGAATGACAACTCGCCTGTGACTTCACCTGGACCTCAGGAGTCAGACACTTTAAGGACATTACCAGCAAAAAGAAATGCTCCCTCTGACAGTTTTAAATGTTACCTCTGATAGTTTTTAAGTTGGTTTGTTTGTTTGTAACCTTCAAGTGGTTGTAAGTTTTAAGTAATTAGCCTGCAACATGCCAGCCAGCAACATTGTACATTTGATAGCTCCTGGACATGATAGTAAAAAATTGATGGGACACACCAATAGCTAGAAAGATTAGGTTTGTCAGTTTAGTGAAGAATTTCATTCTCTTTGTACCGTGTTTGTTGTCCTTACTGCAAAGGGGCCCTGCAGAGAGATAATAAACACAGCTTTTATATTTAAAAACAGAAAAGGGGGAGCTGTGAGAGCATACAGCTGGACTGTGTGTGCCATAAATGGAGGGGGGGATTTGCAGAGCCAGCCCCTGATGAGAATGCAGGCAGGCAGCTGTTGGTCAGTGAGCTGGGGGGGTAACCAGTCATAGCCAACCAGGTTGGAACGTGGAGCATTTTGAATAGGGTGTGTGAGAGCTGTGCAAACCAACAAAGTCTCTGCTGCACAAACCATGAGTGCTGCGCTGTCTCTGTCTACCCCCATTGCGACAGCCAACAAGGCACCTTTTATACCCAAACAATTTTGCAGCTTTCTCCCAGGACGAGGTGGCCTTACAGTGGGCACAGGTACAATTTACATCCCCAGAAATCCATTCACACACTGCTCAGGTGGTGCCTGGAGACCTCAGCATCCATGGAAAGGAGGAACAGGGATCAGTTTCCAGTTCTGGGCCGGCCTCTGTGCCGGCACAGCCACCACCCAAACACAGGGGACAGGTCCCAGACAAACACTGCACTCCCAGGGGAGACCCCAGGCCCCCTGCCCGGCACAGGTGGGGCAGCCCAGATTTGTCTCCTTGTCCCTGTGCACTCACAGCCATGTGCCAGCCACACTCACACATGCGGCACTAGCACCATCCACCCACTCTGCTGGCTCCTTCCTCAGCATCATGCCAGCCTGTTCCACAGCACTGGAGCCAGCCTGCTCCCCCTCAGAGCCCTGCACCTAGAAACTCAGAAATATCCTTCCCTCCCTTCTGTTCCTGCCAGCATCCAGCCAGGGTGAGTTCTGCTTGGCTCCATCTTTGAGCTGCTCCCATGCCACACTGCCAGGGCGTCACCTGAGTCCAGGACTCGTCCCACCAAGAGCCCAGACCTGCAGGATTTACAGACAGTGAGACGTGATTCCAGGCAGGGAGCTCCTAAAATGGAGCTTTTCAGCCCTTCCTGGGGAGGCCTCTGAGGCCTCATCTGTCACAGTGGCCCACGTGGGGCTCTGCGTGCGTGGGGGACGGCTCAGCCCTGCTGTGGGTGTGCATTGCTGTGGGTGTGCATTGCTGTGAGTGTGCACTGCCCCTGCTGTGGATGTGCACTGCTGTGGGTGTGCACTGCTGTGGGTGTGCATTGCTCGTGCTGTGGGTGTACATTGCCGTGGGTGTGCACTGCTGTGAGTGTGCACTGCTGTGAGTGTGCATTGCTGTGAGTGTGCACTGCCCCTGCTGTGGGTGTGCACTGCTGTGGGTGTGCATTGCTGTGGGTGTGCATTGCTGTGAGTGTGCACTGCCCCTGCTGTGGATGTGCACTGCTGTGGGTGTGCACTGCTGTGAGTGTGCACTGCCCCTGCTGTGGGTGTGCATTGCTCCTGGCTGTGTCTGGATAACGTGCCCATGGCAGAGGGTGTGGAAATGCCTGGAGCTGTGCTACTTCCCTGACGGGTACTAATTAAAAGTACATTATGAACCGTTCCGTTTATTGGTGTAGAGTCCTTAAAGTTTTGCACTGTTGAGGCCAGTTTTAAACATTTATTGTGCCTGCCAGCATTAGCTGACAGCAGGGCTGGGATCACTGAAGCCCATTCAGTTGTTGCTTTTACCAATTGCATTTAAAAGAATGTCTTAATTTTTCCATCTGTGACCCTCTTCTCCATTTTCCCCTTCCTCCCACTTTGTTTCCCTTTGTGTGTGGTTCCAATATGGTGGTCCTCTCTGGAAAATTAACAACGATCAGGTGAACAATCCCAGGGAGCAATTTGTCTGCCCCTGCCATCCTTCCACACACCAAGGAAATCCAAGATCATCTAACCTTTTCCCAGGTGTTTCTGCTTTTCCCCTTTTTGAAGTAGAAATACTGCATTACTTTCATCCCTGTTATGAGTTTGTTGATGTCAGAAGTAACATCAGATATGATTTTGCCCTGTGCTTTCCCAGGATATCCATGGGGAATATTGTTCATACATGCAAAAGCAGCTCACAGACATACTAAACCCAACTGAAATTGAGTCAGGTCTTCAAAACAAACTTCCTCCGTACTCAAAGTAAAACACTGAGCTATCTTGAATCATTAAGACTACTAAATGCCTCTTTCTCTTCCAATAAACACATACTGACAATTTTAGACACTTTTCTCCTTTTGTTCCAAGTCAAGGAATTGTTTGTTGTTTCCAAGATCATCCTTCATTACAAGAAGGCAGGACAGTAGCAATTTCCCCAGGAAGCTCATAAAAATGCTCATTGAGTATATTCCAGTAAATTATTTTGAGGAATAAAAAGCAAATTAGAGCACCCACCTTCCATATTTCTCAGAGTATTTATGTGTATTATGGATCTTGAGATGATTAAATGCCACTGAGTAAGCCAGAAGAGTTTTACTGAAAAAAACCCCCAAGTTTTGTTCAAAATAAGTTATCTTTGACCTCAGCATCCAGTTGTAAAGGGAGGATTTCCAAAGACACCAGTGTTTCTGTGAAGATGGTGTTCATGAGACACATCCAGCCTATCCAACACCTTCCCTCCCATGGCAGTCACCATGCCAGCCCCAGTTTTCCTGGGAATTCCAGCCCTCTGAGTGATTGCAGTGAGCTCCTGGCCCCTTGCCACTCAGCCTGGGATATTCTTGGCAGCACTGATAAGGGCACTGGTTCCAAATAAGGAGAAATCTAGAAACGGGTTTGTCTCCAAGCAAATCCACCAAAGCTCACGGGGCCGGACACAGGCGGGGGGAAAAACACCCACAAAAAACCCAAATGAAGCAAAAGTGAACTTCTGACTGTCTGTCTCGCCTGCACCAGCCAAACCTCATTAAAGAGCCACAATGATGAAATACATTGACAGTAAGTGCAACAGACTTGATGAAAGACCTTAAAATGTTTATGCTAATCCAAAGTTTCATTTTCACGTTCCACACAAGCTTTCCACACAAGAACAGTGCCAGAAAGAAGGGAAGAACAATCTTAACTTTTATCTTTCAAAAAAAATTCCAAACAAAATATCAAGCAAAAAACTCAAGCACCAAATCCCCACTTTTCCTTTTTTTTTCTCACCACCTGCATATCTTGCTGGACAGGTGGAAAAGAAAGGCTTTCCTCAGTTTGCTCAGTTTGCTTGTGAGAAAAACCTGTGTTGGAGCTATGAGCTCCTTCAGAGTCTGGAGGAACAACGTGGAGCAGCTGGTGCCTGATTTACACCATGGAGGAACCACCCCAGTAACTCCACAGTTACTCCCCATGTACCAGGGAGGCACGCCTGTGCACAGACTGAATAACTCTGCACTTTGAAAACAATAAAAACCCCAAGAAAGCTCCAGTCCCAGTTCTACTCCAAATCCATTATTTAGTCTGACTGCCCCCGCTCTATTTCCTCCACTTTGATCAACTAATGACCAAGAAAAGCAATTACCAGCATAAGGAAAATATATTCTTGGTATCTTTGAACTGCTGTGGCAAGTGTAAATGCATTCCTTTTGTGAGAACAGAGGAAATATTTCTTCAGTGGCTAAGATGAGAAACGAGGGGGAAACATGGAGGAGGAGGTAGGGGGGAGACTATTATTTTATTAACTAATTAGATCAGCATTGAAAGAAAACGGGCCTGCAAATCTCTGCATTATTGATTGTGCAGATATGGCTGCAATGTACAGCAGAGATGATGAAACACTGGGATGTGCATTTGGAAATGGCTCATCCTGCCTGGACAGGGGAGTACAACAACCTACAAATAACTGAGTTATTGTCATGAGGGGAGGGATAAATACATCACTGACAGGTTTGGGGAAATGGTGTGTGCCGGGAAAAACTGCTCTTGAAGCCTGTTCTTCAAAGACTTCCAGGGCCAGCACATGAGAGAGAACAAATCCCTCTGCCATTTCTCTGGTTTTTGGGTATTTCCATGAACATCTCCACTGCCACTGTTCCAGTCAGCTAGAGCACCACGAAACACACCAGAATAAACCCAAGCAGCTCTGCAATAACTGAAAACTGAACCACTCCAGCACCAGCTGTGGCTGGGCCAGCACCACCAGAGCAGTGCCCCTGCCCCAGACTGTTCTCTGGGGGGAGATGATGCTGAAGGACATAAACTGAAAATCCCAACACCCTCTCAAAAACAAACACGTGGGAGCAAATATTTAACGTTAAACTCTACATTTCTACAAAAACTCTCCAAGAAAGAACAAAACATAATGCCTTAAAAAATAAAAACAAAGAGTGGAATTTGTGGAAATACAAATTATCCTTTATTAATGATTTCCCAGGGCACTCGTTCAACAACACACCCTGGAATCCCAAAGGTACAGAGCAGCTGCCTTCCAAACCTGCAAGGCTGCAGTTTGAAGCTGTGGTGTAATCTACAATAATATCATTGCTCAGGATCTGGCCTGGCAGCTCAGAGGCTCAGCAGGCAGTGAACTCCTCATGCTGGTGCATCAA